AACACTATAAGTACCATTTTAAAAAAAATTATGGAGCAACCTACGTACTCTAAAATGTTTGAGTCCGTCAAGTATGTGTGGTGTGTATACATATATGGCTCTTAGAACTATAATAAAGACAGAAATAATCTTCAAACAACTGTATAGAAATATGGAAAGGTTTTTATGAATATTGTTATATGTATGTATATATGTTCCTCACTATCATGTGCGACTTGTTAATTTTCTGTCTAATTTTCTACACGCACCCACCTATACATATATATCTATTTTACTCTATAGAATCATGGATATATTGGTCACTTAATGACCTAAAGCTTTTCACCTTTTGGTTGGTTCATTGTACATTATATTGAATGAATAAGTCATTCGAATCTCTTTTTTCTTACGAGCCGCATATACGTGCGATTGCATGTGTTTCCATCTCATTTTGGTTCTTTTGTGCTCTCGTCAATCGTCGTGCGTTTTAAGTCAACAGCTCTCTATTTTCTCTATTATTCTTTCTACATTTTCATAAGAATAGATTTCATCACTCTTAAAAAGTATTTTAGCTTAATAGATCATTATAACGTTGACGTGATCCTGGGCTGAAAACAGTTATGACATGGAAAATCTATTATTCTTCTTGTTCTTGATCATATATTACTTTCTACTTCTATTTTAAACATTTTTGTGATTTAGACGTGACTTTTTTTTGTTCTGTTAAGAAATGTGAAAGAAAAATTGCTACTTTCTATACATATATCTCTCTTTTTCGAGGAATATCATGTGTTATTTTAGTTTAGTTACAGTAAATGATAAATTGAATATCTCAATCGCTTTAAGATAATACATCAAAAGTTTTCTTTAAAAAAAACGAAAATATTACCTATCATAAACGATATTTTCCAAATTTTACACCGGCTCGGGGGCTTCGTCTAAGACCATCGTATGAATATCCATGGCCGATTGATATTTACGAGACGGTTTTTGTGCAACAAATTGTGGACCCACAAATACTGAATTTTGTCTATTGCGGTTGTACAATGGCGAAGCTAATTTCGAAGAACAAAATCAATAAAAGAATGTTCGCAATAAGTTATTTTGAATTTAATTGGATGTGTTGAGAAATGTGTTTAGAAATTGGAATGAAAATACCAAAAAGGGCTTAAAAAGATTTGAAGGATCTTACCTCGAACCGTGTATAAGCTTGAACCAGCTGGGCCAGAAATGGAACCCATGCGACCACTGTCCATTCGCCCAGGTGGCATTTGAAGGGAACAACCCATTGAAATACGAGAAAATGATGGATGTTTGTGAACTGGTACCGCTTCCATTTCGACAAGCGGACACGACGAACGGTGCTGTTGTTGAAACTTCTATTCGAAAATAGAGATATTAAAGTGTCATTAATTTTTTTTTTCATTGAAAGGTGTTTGATGATTGATTGTCCATATTGTTTGGTGTCGAATTGAGAATTTAATAAATTTACCGGCTGGTATGGCTCAAGCATTCTTATTTTACCTAAAAATTGTAAACGAAAACCAAATTAGTTTTATGTGTGAACAAATATGTGGCAATTTGCATATTTTACCCCAGCGATTGAAAAATAAGGCAATTGCGCCAACCCACAGCAGGAGCACAGCTAAAACAATAAGCACTTCTTCTGTTCTAACGATTATTTTTGGTCCAACTGTAACCGAAATTGGTTGAAAAAAGGGTTGTATGCATTGCTTTAATCTCGCATATTGTCGCCGGCGAGTGAGTGAGAACCAAAAAATGGATAGTATTAAAATGAAAAACGATTATTACCTTCAATATTGGTTCCATTTGCGTTTGATGCTTTTTCACTAACTTCGCTAACAATAACTTGATAACTTCGACTTGGGGCTGGAAATTGATTGAAACTGGAGACCGTTTCATTTTTTCCGTTTCCTGGCCACTCGGCATCCCATTCTAAACGCCGCAAGACAGAAATGAATGAACATTTTTCACAGATATTCTCCAGCTTTATTACCCTCTCAAAATCTGTTATTTATTGTGAACGCATTGAATCTACCTCAGCTCTAAAATATTACCATGATAAATTGTTTCTTCTTTATAGCACGAAAAATGCTTTTAGAAGAGGTGATGGTAATAGTGTTGAATGGAAAATTTACCTGCTGATATTGGTGATGTGTTTTTGTCGCGTTCAATGTGCTGCTGCTGTTGTTGCTGTTGCTGTTGCTGTCGTTTGTTATGATAATCCAGTTTGACCCTAGAACAAGAAAAAAACCACGACAAAAGTTAATGAATCGATAAAGTATTGAGCAAAAATTGAAAGAATATCCATCACTAATCGAAGCACAAATATTCGCATACACACAAGCGTTCACAACATGCCATGTCCATGTTGTGGTGACACAAGGAAACGTTAAAATGCGTTTGGCATCAATAATTAATCGACTAATACAGCAAGGATTCAAGCAAAAGATTGGAAAAGAGAGAAGATAATTCCACATCATTTCGAATGGATACCATTGTTCTGACACTGAATGATTGTTATTGGATTTTATCCCAAATGAAATTATGCTGCAAGCATTACTACCCTAAATCAGTGTCATAAAGTCTTGTTTGGCAATTGCTGAAGTGTTAAATATCACAAACGGTTTTTTTATAGCAAAGCGATTAAATGTCTCTGGAGTTTCAAAATCACCATTTCATGGATTAAGAGTGAAAGAATGTATATTAGTTAGAGTGTCTGGACAACGTGAACGAGTGAGAAGACTTTTAATTATATCATCAAAGAGACAGAAGCTCGTTCGAGGTCAAAACGTGATACAAAGGCCAATCAAATAAAAAGCTATACACGAAAAAAGAAGAACGAATAGATTATCAAAGACCGACTATTGGCGTTGACATGGCAAAAGCGACACGTTAAACATCTCGAATTTATTCCACAATATTTAATTAAGTACCATGAAATACGCTTGAGCATTAAAACGTAAATTGGTTGCGGTGACACTGTGATTACAAAGAGTACACAGACACACAATATTGCCATCATTATGACACTTGCACATTTATTGAGGACATTTTGTAGTTTAATATTCACGAGTTAATTCAAAATGTTTTGCCACTGTTGCCATATAATTCAATGTGACCACAGGCGACGCATTCAATTGATATGAACCAACAATATTTCCTGTCAATATCCATTTCAAAAAACGGCTGTGATAAATAACAACGCAAAGCCACAAAAATATATGGATGCGGTAATAATACTTCCGATTTTTATGTCATCTTTTCGTATTAGACGCTTTTGTCATGCTTGATATGATTCATCTGTCATGCGTCTATTGCAAGATATTGGAACGTTTGTCTCATAAAGTTTATCCATAATCTAAGGCAGATTTGTTCTTTGACTTACAGAGACTTATAATAAGATATTTTTTGCAAGAAAAATTACATTTGAACATGATTTTATGTTTATTTATACGCCGCGAGGAATGAACATCGCAATAATAATCTTTTCAGACAAACATTTCATTCATCACGGTAAAATATGTACAATTTACATGTGTAAAAAAATAAAGTTTCCTTCAAACACATGATGAATATGGCTTCACACCAGACATTATATGAATGGTTAAGAATAATAATGAAACTTAATTTTGGTTCAAACTGGAGTGTCCCGCAGAATTATTTCAAATGAAAGTGTCCCGAATATTTGTTTCAAACTAAAATGTCCCTACAAAAAAGATTCATGTAAATTTTTCTAAGTGCCATTTTCATTTGCAATAAATTTGAGGGACACTTCGATTGTAAACTTTTTCTTGAGTCCTATTCATAAGAAATTTTTTCGGGGGACACTTTGAGAAAAAGTTTTTTCGACATTTCAATCATAATTATATGTACTATATGTATGAGAATTTAGAAAAAATCTGTTCAATAGGTATCACATAGCAAGTTTATATGAAACTCTCGGAGACTCGGTATAGAGCACTCAAACAGTGAAAAAA